GACAGTTCGAACAAAAAATTTGTAAGTGTGTATATGAGATGACTAAAAAGTTGTGAATGTGTTTGTAAATCGTTTGATTTTCAGGGGAAAGTGGTGAGCCGTGGCTGGCAGGGACCCTTGCTAAACAACCAGAGTTGTTCTGGTGCTAGAAATGTACCAGTGTGAAACCTACCAATGAAACGATAGTGACGATAGTCCTAAAACTATCGATAGTTAATTCAAGTGGTCAGACTATCGGTAGTATCGTCGATAGTTTGATAGCCCTTGCATATAGTCTTAAATATGGCTCCTCCGGCCGCACGTCAGCGATATAATGCAAATAAATCGGACAATGGAGTCGGTCTCACCAAGAAGCCACCTAGGAAGCTTGATAGCCAAAAAAAGGATTGCAAGAAGAGGTTCAAATTGTTTTCAGAGGTTAAACGTTTTTCAAAATTTATCATTCATAGTTCGAATGGAACGAAAATATCTTATACTGCGGCAAAAAATACAAAATCAACAATTGTCCCAAGCGTAGAAACAGCATTTAAGACATTTGTTAGTGCACGGTTATGCAGTGCTATATGGGCATATATATCTGATTGCGACGAAACTTTCAACTATTGGGAGCCACTTCATTATATCATTAATGGACACGGTATGCAAACTTGGGAATATAGCCCACAATTTGCACTTCGATCGTATACATATCTCTTATTACAAGGGGTGCCCGGATGGATATACCAAAAGCTTTTCAATCCAAGCCCTTTTTTAATATTTTACATGATACGATGTATTTTAGGATTTGGGTGTGCAGTTATGGAACGTTTTATGTATAAGTAAGCATAATTTTTTTTTTTAAGTATTTTCTTTAATTTCTGAATATTATAGGTCAATCTGCCAAGAGTTTGGAATACATATAGGACGACTGTGGTTAATTTTTCAACTATTTAGTGTAGGCATGTTTGTATCAAGCACCGCTTTATTACCGTCTTCTTTCTCAATGTACTTTGGATGTGCTGCCATAGCTGCATGGTGGCAACTGAAGTACAGCCTAGCGATATTTTTTGTAGCTATTTCAGCCATCCTTGGCTGGCCATTTGCAGGATTATTGGGAGTTCCAGTCGCTTTGGATATGCTATTACATAAAAGAATGTGGAAAACGTTTATAACGTGGGCGTCTATTTCTGCAATAACAATTGGTTTACCGATGGTTGCAATCGACAGCACCTATTTCGGCAAATTAGTCATCGCACCTTTGAATCTAGTAATATATAACGTTTTTACTAGTCATGGACCGAATATATTTGGCACCGAACCATTGAAGTATTACTTATTTAATGGGTTTTTGAACTTTAATGTCATTTGGGTGAGTTAATTTCTGTTAAATAAAATTTAGTTTACTTATAACCTTTATATTTTAGCTGCTTTCTCTAATTACACCGGTTATGTTGGTGATTGATCACTTTCTAGTGCCTGCGAAATCCAAATCAACGCTTAATTTTCCACGATATTTATCATTAGCGCCTCTTTACCTCTGGCTGTTAGTTTTCTTTCCACAACCCCACAAGGAGGAACGCTTTCTTTTCCCCATTTATCCGCTAATATCACTGTGTGGAGCTATCACTGTCGATGTAATTCAACGCATTTTTTTTAGACTGAAGTCGGTGGTTAACAGTAAAACTATGGCAGGCTCCCACTATTTGGATCACACTATGTTCATAGCCGTTTTCGTTATGCTTGTAAGCACACTGTTGGGTTTGTCAAGAGTATTCTCTCTTTACCGAAACTATCACGCCCCTATGGATGTCTTCATGGAACTGAACCAATTTAAAGCGTCGCAACAATATAAGGACGATCGAATATATAACGTATGTATTGGGAAAGATTGGTATCGTTATCCTGGTAGTTTTTTTTTGCCTACAAATAATTTTCGTTTACGCTTTTTGAAATCAGAGTTTCGAGGCATGCTACCTTTTTATTATGCCGATGGAGAAAATGCTACTCAAGTAGTGCATCCATATTTCAATGATATAAACCAAGAAAATGAAAGCGCTTATTTTGTTTACAATGACTGTGATTTTTTGATATATTTCGATGAAGGCAAATATACAGACCTAGAACCCAATTACACCAAATTCACCAAAGATTGGATCCCGTCGAAAACTTTGCCATTTCTCATCCCACATAAATCACATAAGCTCTTTAGAGCTTTCTATATACCATTTCTAACTGATAATTATACTTCATACGGAAGTTTTTATTTATTAAAGCGGAAAATAAAATTAAGTTAAAATAAAATTATAGTTTAAAAAACTAAAACCTCGCTATTAAAATTTCCATTCGTACTGTCATCAGGTTACTTTAAGAATGTAAGTTTAAAGTAATTCCCATTCGTACTGTCATCAGGTATGTAACTTGAGAATGGAAATGGCTGCTTCTTTTTGGTCAGTGATTTCCAAAGTGGTCCAGGTGTCCAGGTGTCCACGGGAGACTCGACGGGGGTCTACGTTGGCGTGAAAAAAACATGGGGGACCATGAGTTGTAAGTGGGCGTCCACGAAAATTTATATGGTTTCGACAGTAAAGAACCAAAAAGGTTGCTTGATAGCCTCTTTATTTAACTTGATTTTTTTCTGAGTGGTGTATAGTGCTCTTGACGCACTGCTGAACTTATCATGACTTTGTGTTATCTTTCGTGGGGAAGCCTTAAAGGCCACCTGCAGACTAAAAAGAACCGGATGTTGGTATAAAACTGAGATTCAATACTGTTGAGTTCCCTGAGACTGAATGCTAGTTTAATTCCATCAATGAGGCCGGACTCGCACATTGTCGAATCTTCGCTGATGGCCCCAAAACTACTCTGGGTTGTTGTTGTTGTTGTTGTAGCGGCTACTGAGCCCCGTTCGGGACGGTTCATCCATCATCGTTGTCGTCTATTTCAGCTAAGGGGAGGCCCAGGAAGTGTGCGACTTCCACAGGGGCTGTCCATAGGGACAGGGGCGTTAGCTGAGTGGGATTCACGGGGCATGTGAAGAGGTGCCGGGAGTCATGTGGCGACTCTCCACATGCCGGGCATTGGTTGGGCACATCCTCGTTGATTCTACTCAGGTAGCTGTTGAGCCTGCTGCAATAGCCAGAGCGAAGTTGGGCTATTGTTGGTCGGGTCTCCCGAGGCAGACAAAGTTCTGTCCCGTCCACGTCCGGTGGTTGTGTGCCTAGAACGGCATTCACCGGGCGGGAGTCTATATAACTTGAGACTGATTCCCTGTAAATGCCGTTGAGGGCCTGTCGGTAGGTTGTCGGGTCCAGACGTTGTTTAATATACCTCTGGACTTCGTCTGTCAGTTCGTAAAGATGCCTCCTGTCGCGGCACGTAATGCCGTGTTTTGGCAGGTCTGCAGCTTCATCCACTGCGTCCTGCNCGGGCGGGAGTCTATATAACTTGAGACTGATTCCCTGTAAATGCCGTTGAGGGCCTGTCGGTAGGTTGTCGGGTCCAGACGTTGTTTAATATACCTCTGGACTTCGTCTGTCAGTTCGTAAAGATGCCTCCTGTCGCGGCACGTAATGCCGTGTTTTGGCAGGTCTGCAGCTTCATCCACTGCGTCCTGCTAGTCCCCGGCGACCATACGGGCGCTGCGTAGTTCAGAACCGGCCGGCCGATTGCCTTGTATGTTGCCAACAACGTTTCTTTATCTTTGCCCCAAGTGCTGCCGGCCAGCGACTTGAGGACATTGTTGCGGCTCTGTACTTTGTTGACAATTGCGGCTGTATGCGCCGAGAAGGAGAGCAGACTGTCGAAGGTAACTCCGAGGATTTTCGGGTTATTCACCGTCGGTATTGTTACGTCATCGACGTGAATACCCAGTGGCAGTCTGACCTCCTTCGTCCAGGTGGTGAAAAGGGTTGCCGAGGATTTCGCAGGGGATAGGGCTAGGCTCCTTGCAGTGAAGAAGCGATAAAGTTCGGAGAGGTAACCGTTTACTTTTGAGCACAAGTCATCAATTCCATTCCCAGACGCCATGATCGAACAAGTGTGGCGAGTGAGTCTGGAAGGTTTGCAAGAGGAATTCGCGTCCGTTTTGACATCAAGATTCGTAAATGAATTCGCCGCACATTTGATTTCGCGGCGACAAAGAACGTTGAGAAAGTGTTCGATTAAAGAAATAAAGAAATGAAATGACAAAAAACATGGCCGCAACTCTTTTTGTTTATTTGCCGAAGACATTTAGCAATTTGCATGCGCATGTGCATAGTTTATTTATTTATATTTTAAACAAATGTAAGTAAATAGAGGGCCTGCGCTATAAAGGACCTTTACAAACTTCGTGTTTAATATGGAAGTTTTAAAGTTGTAATTATGAATGCAATTACCTTTTTTATAACAACTCAATGTATATTTATAATCAATAAGTAATTTATATCAATTTAATCAAATATACTCATCCATTTCCCCCAAACATATCTACATTCATGCAAAAAACGTATGTACATATACGCATATGCGACTAAAATACAACAATAACAATTTCATTCATAAACGCATGCGCATATTCTTCAAGGTCAAACTCATTCATTCATAAATTCAATAGCCATACATCTCCCCGCAACATTTGCAAAAATAACTTATCTCGAGTTAAGACATTTTTTCTCTAAGCTTCTAAATCGCAGTGCTCCTTCCAACTTTTAAATTATTAATTAGTTGTTTAAGATTTTATTTTAGTAAAAAACAAAATAAGCATACATTTTTTGCACAAATGGCCCCTGAAATTTTGATGTAAACTCAAAACTTCTAAAATCACATACATAAGTGGTTTTACAACAAATGTAATTTGGCAACATGGTTGCCTTCACCAGCTTCGGCCACAAATTTAAACATTTTTGTAACCGAGCGAATACGATTTGTTTACAGTTGACTCTAGATACGTCGAGCAATATGTATAAGAATTAAAAAAATTAAATTTTTGCATTATTGATGATTGCAAGGCTCTGAAGCATGTATAAGTGAGTGTATACGAGGGTCGTATGAAAACTACCCGATTTTGAATAGAGATGGCGCTGCTACAACTAAAAAAAAATATTTTTCTAAAAAATACAACTCTTCAAATAACACGTGTCAAAATTTCTCAGCGATATGACATTTACAACAAATTTTATACGTGTTAGAATTTAGTTACTTTTGTGCTTTTTGTCAACATGGAAAAAATTGAATATCGAGCAGTGATAAAATATTTGTTTTTGAAAAAGAAAACAAACGACGAAATTAAATCGGAATTTAACGAAGTTTATGGAGACTCTGGACCGTCATTAACAACTATAAAATATTGGGTAGCTGAATTTAAACGCGGCCGTACGAGCATTTTTGATGAGGAACGTTCAGGTCGTCCAAATGAGGTCACTACACCAGAAATGATTGAAAAAATCCGTGATATGGTAATGAGTGATCGAAGATTGAAAGTGCGTGAGATTGGTGAGAGTGTGGGCATTTCAATTGAACGGGTTAATAACATTTTGCAAAATCATTTGGATATGCGAAAGCTTTCCGCAAGATGGGTGCCGCGATTACTCACAACACACCATAAACAAACACGTGTTTCCATTTCAAATGATTGTTTATCAATGTTAAACGCAAATCCCCAGGAGTTTTGGCGTCGATTTGTAACTGTCGATGAAACGTGGATTCATCACTCCACACCAGAGACCAAAGAACAGTCAAAACAGTGGACTCGTCGTGGTGAACCAGCTCCAAAGAAGGCAAAGGCGATATTATCAGCAAACAAGGTTATGGCCACAGTATTTTGGGATGCGCGTGGGGTTATACATATTGATTACCTACAAAAAGGAAAAACAATTAATCTGCCCATAATCCTGGTGGGTGCGTCGTCGTTCATTGTGCAGAATGTCGAATCGTCTATCTGCTCAGCCAGATGTATTCCCCTACGATCATTTGACAGGCTTGAGTGGGTCATAATGGTAACACTGCAACGTTGTTGACGTGTTTGTAATCGCTCTGCGGAAAATTTTTAAAAAACAGCCGAATTGTTGGGATTTTTACCAGCGTTAGAGCCAGTGACTTAAATAGCGAAGTGCTAATAAACTGTGCTATTTGCAAGCACAAAAATTTGTTTCATTTTGATAAACAAACAAATAAATATAGCTAGAGACATAAAAGTGCAGTGAGGTGACAAAAACAATAAGGCGCGAAAATGGATAAATGCCATAAGTGCAAGAATCCAATTCGCGGTGACAGCGGAATCCGCTGTGATGGTGTGTGTGGTAAAGTGTGGCACTGGGCAAAAAAATGCTCTGAATTGGAGGAGTACAGTGCGAATGTACTCAAAGAAAACAACTTTGTGCGCTTTATGTGTAACCAATGTCACACATACATGCATAACATCGATGAGGTGCTCCGAAATATGAACTTAACAATAGAGAAAAATAGTCAAAAGATCCAAGAGTGTAATGATGACTTCCAGGAGTCGCAGAAAATGCAAGTGAAAGAGCTTAAACTTCTCTTGCAATCAATAGAGAAAAAATTTGGGGAACGCATTGATGCAATGCAAAGAGTACAAAAAACCTGTGAGGCGAGTATTCTCGAAGTGAACCAAATTAAGTCAATAACTGACGGCGTAAAAAAGCAAAGCCATGATCTTTGCGAAGCCATAGTGCGCAATGAAAATGAGAACAAAAAAATTTGCGAAGAGATAAAGAAATCGGTGACTGCTGACGCGTTAGCAGGTCAGCGGGCGAAAGCCACTTACGCGGATCTCTTTAAAGGTAATACTGCGAAAGATAATAGGCCGCCGAAAGTAAATAAAGAGAAGCCATTAGTTCTACAACCAAAAGAGAAGCAGGAAGTGGGAAAAACAAAAGAAGATTTGAACAAAAATGTTGACCCCTCGGGCTTGAAAATTAATAGTGTACAGGGGAGGAAAAGTGGGGCTGTAGTAATACAAACAGAAAATGAGGCTGAGCGTGAAAAAATCAAAAAGGCAATAGAGAATAAAATGAGTGATAGATATGAATAAAAATCCCAAACGTATCCAAGCCAAGGTTCATGGTATATAGAATGAGCTTTAAACATGAGAATGAGCAGCTCAGGGATATGATAAAAAAACAGAATGAATGCTTCAAAAATGGTAATTTCAAAATTTTGAAATGTTTTGAAACAAAAAGAGGAAATGCAAAACATTATAATGCGTTAGTAGAAACAGATGTAGATGCGTTTGCAGCCGTGCTGGCAAGCGAAAAAATAAACATAGGTTGGGAAAAATGTAGAGTCAAAGATGGAATGGATGTTACTTTCTGTTTCAAATGCAAGGGATTTAACCACATAGCTGCGAAATGTAAAGCCGATGAGGTATGTTTCAAGTGCCTAGATAACCACAAAACTATGGAATGTTCTAAGGAAACATTAAACAAATGCATAAACTGCATTCGTGCTAATAAAAAATTTAACTTAGGGCTTGATGAAAATCATATGACATTTAACCGACAGTGTCCTGTATACCAGAAAAAGCTTGAGCATAAAAGAAATACTGTAAATTACTAACAATTACAGCAAGTTTGTGGGGACCCTAGCGTTGAGTTTACGTCTCACCCAGGTGTAAAGAAAGCGCTACCCAAATATTTGCAATGCGTATATCTCAATATACAGAGTTTAGTGGCTAATAAAGTTGAGCTAGAAATACTTATAGATTTTACCGACCCGGATCTACTTTTGTGTTCCGAAACATGCCTAACTGATGACATAGAGGATACGGAAATAATGTTCCCGGCGTATCAGATGATACGCTGCGACTCACACAGTAGACACACAGGGGGAGTGATAATACTCGTTCGAAACACGCTCGGTTTTAAAACAATAACTAACAAGGCTTTAGACAAAAATGTTTGGTGTATAGTTATTCAACTCACACACTGTGATACCAGGTGGCAGCTCGGGGTGGTTTATCACTCCCCAAGCTCAAGTGATGCGGAATTTGTTACATATATGGAGGATATCCTAGCAGAAATCTCAGAAAATTCTGTGAACACTGTTGTCATTGGCGATTTTAACATAAACATGAACGTAGTATCAACCTACAGCAGAAAACTCAATGAAGTTTTCTTGCAACAAGCCATGCAACAGCTGATAAATTTTAATACGAGGGTGACGGAACATTCGGAAACACGTATTGACTTGTTGTATTCCAATGATAACCGAGTTATATGCCAAAAGGTCGAGGATCATAGAATATCTGACCACGAAACAATAATGTTTCGACTAAATGTCAATAAACTTAACCCACTTGCTAAGGAGGCAGAAGTAATATCCTGGGAGAGATACAACCCTGAGAACTTAACAAGTTTACTAAGGCAGTGCGATTTCTCAAACTTAAATTTTTTCGATGCTGACGGTATGGTGGAGTATATTACTCACTGCATTATGTGGGCCATGAGGCAGTTGACTTACTCAAAAATAACTCGCATTAGGCAGAGGAACAAATGGTATGATAGGCAATTGACAGAGATGAACAAGTATAAATCTAAATCCCATGAGAAAGCAGTGTTGTCAGGGTACTGGGGTGAATATAATTTAGTGAGAAGCAGATATAAGAAAATGGTAAGGTGTAAAAAAATTAAATACCTAGAGCATAAGGTGGAAATAAATAAGGGTGACAGCCGACTCATGTGGAAATACTTAAAGGAGGTAGTCAATAACACGGAGGTCAAAGAAAATATTGGGGAAGTGATAATAAATAACACCAACTACGTAGACAGCTTTGAAATTGCGGAAAACCTAGATAATTTTTTCGTGGACAGCATTTTGGAAATACACACCAATATAGAGTGTGTAAACTATGATTTTTTCGAGCAACGAGCTCCCACAAGTACGCTAAAATTTGAAGAGGTCTCAACGGAAGACATTCTTCAAATTGCCAAAAAATTTAAGCGGAAAATTGGGGGAAACAACCTACTTTCTGAAGGTGTTATTAAGGACTCTGCTGATTATATTGGATATTTCTATGCCCTACTTATAAATAAGAGTCTCCAGACAGGATCAGTACCGGAAGAATGGAAAATTTCATCAATAGTGCCCGTCAAGAAAGTTAGAAAAACGGTTAAAGCTGAGGAGCTTAGGCCCATCAATACTCTCCCTAGCTTGGAAAAAATGCTAGAAACCGCTGTGAAAAATCAGCTACAGTACTATGTGGAATCCAATAAAATACTCATAAAAGAACAATCTGGATTCAGAGCTAAACATTCCTGTGAGACTGCGCTGAATCTGGTGCTTTCTAAATGGAAAGAAGATCTGAACAGACACCTTAATGTAGTGGCAGTGTTTATTGATCTTAAAAGAGCATTTGAAACCGTTGATAGGGTCCGAATGTTGGATAAACTAAAATACATTGGTATAAAAAACACTGAGCTTGACTGGTTTAGAAGCTTTCTGTGTAATCGTAGGCAACAAACAATAGTTAATTCAAAGAGGTCTAGTAAGATAGCCGTAGACATCGGATTACCACAGGGCTCAGTTTTGGCACCCCTACTCTTTAATATATATATAAACGATATTAAAAGTTCTCTCAAACATTGTAAAATAAAACTCTTTGCGGATGATGCCTTGTTAACGATCAGTGATAGGGAACTACCAAATACGATTGTCAAAATGCAAGAAAATCTTAATTCTTTGTATCAATGGCTGTGTTCAAATAAACTCAAACTGAATGTGAAAAAGACTAACTTTATGGTATTTTCCAGAGCGGCAAATGCTGACTCCATAAGCCGTGAATTAAAAATCAAAGATGAAAATATCGAAGAGGTGAAAATTGTCAAGTACCTAGGAATATACATAGACAACAAACTAAAGTTTGATGAGCACGTTGAGTATACAGTCAACAAGATTGCTAAAAAAATTGGCCTTATAAAGAGATCGTGTAAGTACTTGGGAAGAAGATATAAAACGTTGGTGTACAGGTCAATAGTAGAACCGCACTTTATATACTGCCCCACGATTTTCTTCCTAGCGGGGGACTCCCATGTAGATAAGCTGCAAAAAATGCAAAACCGAGCGATGAGATTCATCCTCAACAAACCGTATGACACACCAACAAGATGTATGCTTGAAACCTTGAATTGGTTAAGCGTGAAGCAACAAGTTTTTTACCACGCTATGAAATTTGTGTACAATATTAAGAAGGGCAACCTGCCGGATTATCTTAGCGATAATCTCCGATATATAAATGAGACGCATACATATTTGTTGAGAGAGAATAACAGCTTCAGACTCCCGAAGTATAGAACAGAAGTGGACAAAAAAAATATTTTCTATAAAGGCTTAAAGTGCTTCAATGAATTGCCAGAGGCTATAAAAAATTGTGATACTATCACTCTTTTCAAGCGGCTGCTACTTGATTATTGTAGAACGCAGCCTACAAGATAGTGATGTATCAACAATAGCGTGGATTGGAAACTAGGCCTTTCCAACCACCAAGATATCGAGACTAGGCGGATCGGAAACTCGGCCTTTCCGACTACCTAGACCCTTAGATAATAAACAATAAACGAGCGGATTGGAAACTAGGCCTTTCCAACCGTTAACCGTCACGAAAGCGCGACTGGGTGGATCGGAAACTCGGCCTTTCTGACCACCCAGGAGATATCAATAAATGGAGTAACCCAAAAAGAATAGCGCGGATTGGAAACTCGGCCTTTCCAACCGTCTACATAACTTCCAGGAAATTGCATGCGTGTATAATGACACAAAATAATTGCAGTGATAAAGAAATAATGTTATTTAAAAATTTCTGTAGAGCATTTTGTATTTTGTATTTAATATTTTATATTTATATTTT